TATTACGATTTTACGGTTTTAATAAGATATTTCGTGTAAAATCTATACTAAAATTTAAAATTTATAAAATTTGAAGATTTCATCTTAAAATTTAGATTTAAAATCAGGTAAAATCTCGATTTTACTTTCTGTTTGGCAGCTGGACTTTTATCCTATTTCTTTTTAGGTTTCTCATCTTGGGTTAATGAGTTTTAACTAGATAACCCATAAATTAAGCTTATTTTTCATTTTAAAAGCCCACAACCTATACAATCCAATCACAAATCAACATTTTAATCGAGAATTCGGGACAAATTTGATTTAACTATCTAAAATTCTAAATTTAAGTCATTTTCTTTCGTTTAATTTATTTATATTGTTAGATATTTAGATTTTAATTAGTTAATTTCAAGTTTTTAACTTTAAATTTGATTTTATATAATATATTATATATTATATATTAATGAGTAATTAACGGCTTAACTAAAGTGGGAATGTCACGTGGCGTGACGTGATTGTAAGGCATTCGGCGTTAATTGAAATTAATGAGACCTGAGGGACCAGAGTTGGGCTTTTTCGTCTTTTGCATCTACCGAGATTTGACATAGGGTCGGTGTATTCACATTAATAGATTCTTTGAATTTTTGTATGTACCAAAAAAAACAAAAAGATTCTTTGAATTTTTTAAAATTAACTGTATAGATAAACTGATGGTTAATAATTATTATTATTTATAATTTATTTAAAATTATTTGTAAATTCCTGAATTAAACACCCTTTAAAATTTTCTTTTAGTAAAGGTGTCTGTTTAGGAAGAAACTCTCCTTTTAAAACATTATTTATGATTTTTACATATTAATATTACAATAAAATAAGAGTAAAAATGATATTTTTTAAATTTTTTTATAATATAATTCTCAATCAATAAATTTTTATTCTTACACTTTTTGAAAAAAAAAAAAGGTTTCTTCTAACTTTTTATGTACAAAACTTGTTTTATAACTTTTCTCTCTCTACTTTTTCTAGATCAATTTCAGATCAAATATAGAAAAATTAACAACTTAATAAAATTTTAACATAATTTATCAACTTTTCATAAAATATGTTTTCAATTAATTTCTTAATAAAAGTTTTCATAATAAAATTGACTTTCTAACTAAACAAATCCCAAAAGTAAAAAATTTTAAGTTCCAATTATATATTACATTTAGCTTCAAGTCATATGTAAAAAAAATTGGTTTAGTGATAGAGAGATTTATGTTACATTATGCAACTCAAAATAGAAAAATGTGTGGTCCCCAATATTTTGATTTTAGTTCAATTAAGTCCCTAACTCTTTCATCTTATTCAAATACAAATACAAATTACAATACAAAGGAAACAAAAAACCTGAAAGTTTGTATCTAGTTTCTACACATCAATCTTTTGTTGATTTTTATAATCTCTCATACCCACTAGAGATTTGAAGAGGTTATTATGATGATGATGACGATACAATTTTCTCAGTGCAAAGTCGGGAAAGGGCGGCATGAAGATTCGGAAACATGTTGTGAAAGAAGGTGGGCAGTGTCTTTCCACCATGAAATCTCTGTTTCTTTCTCGCGGAGCTTCTGTTTGGTACATTCCAGAGCAGCTTCTAGCTCTCTTATCTGCTCCTGTTGTCTAGCTTCCAGCAGTTCATGCAATTTTCTCTCGAGTTCAAACGGAGGAATTCCACATTGTTCTTCAAAGCACTCTTCTGGGATGTCATTTCCAGGATCAATCACTTCAGAAAAACTGAAACTGTTTGTTCTCACAGAAGTATTATCCTCATTCACCTGTAATGGTTGTTTCACAATTCAAAATGGGTTCCAATTTCCAAAGATATCAAAAGAAAACCCATTTAATTTCTCTTACCATCATGCTTCCCTGTGGCGGATTACCCAATCCTTTCTCTGCATCCAAACAGAGTTGCAGACGTTCTAGCTCCATTTTAAGTTCTGCTTCGAGTTGATTCATTCCCTCAAAGCAATCCTCAGATTTAGCCATGTCAGATTCCAAACACTGATCGGATAATACAGTATTCGACGGTGGCGGAATTTGGGTAGAAAGTTGGGTGTTTTCCTCTGCGCTGTCTGGGACAGCAGAGTACTTGAACATTTCATTTGTTTCAGGAGGAGGAGGAATATTAAAAAAAGCATTTTTCCTTTGCAATTCCTCTTTCACATTCTGGAGAATCGTTTCCATTTGTATCCGCAACTCCACCATCTTGTTCATTTCAATTTTACTGGCAGCCATAAGATACAACAAAGAACCCCCAATTCCTAAATTCAAAGAGGTCTCTCTCCTACATCTTTCTGCATATAGTTCAAACTCAAATTAATCAAACCCTAAATCAAATTTCCGGAACCAGCCCTCAATTGCTAGATTTACACTAACCGACATTGAACAAGACCAAAACCGATCTTAATCTTACCTGATGAAGGATCAATAGCCGGACCCAGAGATGACGAAACCCGACTGTCGGATCCATCGACTTGCGCCACTCCATCATTTCTTCTCCCAATCCTCTTTTCTCCGCTCCGATTACTCCGCCATAGTCTGGCCAACAGCCTCCCAACGATCCGAAGAAGGGATTCAGAGCCTACCCCGCTGTACCCATCACCACTCCTCATCAGAATTCAATGCCCCCTCTTCCTTGTCTCGAAGTAGATGTAATTAGAGATGAGTAAATGAAGAGGGGATTTGGATTTGAAGGAGGGTTTAATGCGGAGATTCATGTGAGGGTGTGAGACTTTATGGTGAAAATGGAAAGGTGAAGAGCCAGAAAGGAAATTAAATGTATTGTGCAGAAAAACAGAGGCGGACGAATTTGAGAGGGAAAGTTCATCATTCTCTGTTTTTTCCTTATTTGTTCCAAAAAAAAATTAATTAGTATTTCCTTTGTTACCTTTGAGTAGATTTAATTTTTAATTTTAATTTTAAAATTTTAAATAATTAAAACTGAAAATTAAAATTATCAATTTGTTAGATATAAAATTTTAAAATAAATATTTCAAATTCTAAACTTAATTAATTTATAGAAAATTTTTATTTTATTTTATGGTTTTTAAACTTTTTTAAACTAACACAAAAAATTTAAAAATACAATCATATTAAAGTAAGCCTTAATTGTTTACTTTTTTTTTTAGTATGTCTTTTAATTTTTTTTTATTTACTTTTATTTTAAAAAATAATTATAATATATATTAAATAAAATAATATCAATAATTTCAGTAATTTAGTGATAATCCCTTCTTTTGTTAAAAATAAAATATTCTAAATTTGAATCACATGATATACGAGTGGGGTGAGATAAAAAATAAAAAATGATTACCTCATATTATACAATCAAGATAAAAATAAAATAAAATAAAATAATTTATTTAAATAATAAGTAATTATAAATAAATATAAAATTTTATGAATTAATTATTATATTTTTAGTTCATTGACAAATTAAATTTACTGAAACTAAAAGAAGAGAATATTACAAAATGTCTCAGTGTAAATGAACTGCTTTTAATCCATACAATGTTAAAGCATATCCCTCTTCAGGTTCCTCCCCTGTCGAAGTGCGGAATTTTTAAGTTTGAAGTTTCACACTCTCATGATAGGTAAATATGAACAACAATCTATTGATGAGGATCGAGGAATTTACTTTTGTTTAAAATAGATTTTAAATTCGACTATTGTGAATAAGAAAATTGTGGTTTAAGAGAGTTTCTCTTTTTATAAAATTTGACATGATTTAATTTTAAATTAATTAGATTTAATATAATTATTAAATATTAGAAAGTTAGTAAAAAAAATAATAGCTAAATATTACAATTGATTGTTGAAAATGGTTTTGTTTTAATTTTTTATATTTTTCTAATGGTTAAATTATTTTTTATTTTTATATTAAATTACGATTGTGTGGGTGTTTTTTTTAAAACATTTAAGGGTGACCTTAAATCTTACACCTTAAAATTAATATAAAAAAACTTTTACAAAATTTTAATAATCACTTACCAAAATATCGTTCTCAAGATGGTGCAGGCTTTTAACATAAAAATATTGTAAAATATAAATATTTGAAATGGAATGTTGGTCCTCACTATGATTAAGTTTAGGATTTTTTTTTATAATAAAAAATGATTATAACTAGTGTTAGAATCTATTTGTGCTTGGGAGGATCAAACAAGTGAAGGAAGTGCAGTCCACCTATTATTTAAAAGCAGCGTGATTACTACTGAATCACGTGGGGTCTGCATTAAGTTAAGGATTTCATTGAACAAAATATGAGAGAAAAAAATTAAGAAAGAAAAATGGATAGTCATGTTAATATACGTACTAAAAATTAATAAAGAATGCAAACATATTGAAATTAAATGACTTAATGGTATCTTTCTCTGATAAAAATTAAAAAAAAAAAAATTTTAATTTGTCATGACATATTGTAACTCAAGAAATCAACCAAAGTAGTGTTGTGAAGGTCGAAGCCATCACTTTGTGATATTGACGCCTCAGTGTGTCTTGATTTATGCGAAAGGAAACAGAAGGAAATTTTCTTGAATAAAGAACTGAGTTTTGAAATTTTTTTAAAAATATTTT